TGCAGTGTTATCTCCTTTCATTTGTCGCCTTAGTTCTATAAGGGTTTTCGTGGGTTGACTCAGTTTTTCATCTTTTTTGCTTGTCGGACAATATTTAGTTTGAAGTTAGTTAGCTTTTACTGTACCACAAAGAAAAAAGTCAAGTGATGACTCAGCCGGTTTTTGAGCGTAAGTTTCAAATGAGTAACACTTAATTCGGATTTTGGAATAGAGTGGGGACACGAGAAGGTATTTATGCCTTCAATGTGTTACCACAACAATAAGAAGGCATGAAAATAGATGTATAGATATGTTTTATAGATTATAAAAAAGCTTTGACTGCTTCAACCCTTAAAAGATTATCGAAATTCTGGAAAACTGGAAGTGAGGAACAAGACATCTCAGAACTATATTGGCACTTAAGGATACGATCGCAATAGAACACACAAAATTCGAAGATATACGAATCAGACAAAAAGTGCGTCAGGGTTTCGTCTTATAACAGACAAGTGAGGTGAAGTCAGACATCAGACGAGTTTAGGTGAAATAAAGATCAATGGAAAGAGCATAAACAACATCTCTTTACTAATAAAAAACGCCGCTCCATGTTGTGTCAGATCGCACCTTTACCTACACGAAATAACAAATCAACCTAACTATTACGGCCATAATAGTTTACGCTTGAATATCATAAGTTGCTCTTTATCCTTTCTTTTTCATTGCCAAAATTTTATATTAATGAGGTTACTTCGGGCCTAATTGATGTTTTAAAATAGTCGTTTTGTTCTTTTATCCAATAATTGCGATGTCGACAAGCTTTTATTAGAATAGAATGTTGTGACGGGTAACTCTTCTAGACAGCAGACTCAGTAAAATTATATCCAAGATAATATCTACATACTCAGTACTTATTACCTGCTAACTAAAATATAATTAATATCATAAAAATTCAAACAAAAATATAGTTTCTTAATACACACTCGCAAAAGAAAACGAATTGTCTATGTTAGAGGTAGATGGATCGATCAACACTTGATCAGGCAAAGCGCGGGAAGTGACTTATCAACACTTAGCGCCGGAACAGGTCCATCTCAGATTAACACTTCAAGATCGGTAAGAAACTGCCACTAGATCAATACTCTTCCAAAAGTGGTTGGCCTTTGGTCAACACCCTAGGTCCAATGGAGTTGTTAGAAGATCAACACTCTGATGAAACTCGATTCTCTCGTGCGGTGGCTCTTGTTTTATACGGTTGTCGTACTTCAATAAAAGGCGTATCAATAAAAGTGGAACCAACGGTAGAAGTGCGTATGTACGCAGCATTGATATGACGGTAATGATGAACATCGTTACAGCTCCGTCTCTTTGGGGAAAAAATGAAGCATATATTTTGTGTGGCGTGGAGCCTACAACTGCATAATTCCTTTTACCCTTTGTGATAATTTGATTTTTAGTCTTTTGCTGCTGTTGCAGGTCATTCCATCAGTTCTCTCGGGATAATTTCCGCTAAGTAGGAATTGTTTCCTGGCTGTGGCTCCCTCGAGGTTGTCATTTCTGCGGCTTCGGGTCCTGTCGGTGTGTCTGAAACGTCGTGCTATCTTGGTGGGGATGATAATGCACCGAACAGCTGGTGAAAACTATTAAGGATGTGTTCTGCTTTCGTTCATGTTATGTCAGCATCTCAGGTGTTCCCAGTGTACTCATTTCTTCGAGAATATCTAGCTTTCAGATTTCGCTACTTAAGTTCTGTCTGTCTTAGGTATGGATAGGATTTCTTTGGAGGTGCCTTCCCCCTTCCACGGCTTTAAATCTTTAACATGCGCCGTCATCTGTTTGCGGTTGCTACTATTTAATAATTCTAGTATAATCATTACTTAATTACTATTTAACTGGGAATAAGCCACAATTAAAGATAAAAATACGTTTACTAACGTTTCAATTTCCACTTCGGAAATCGTTCTCAAAATACAAACAGTAAATTAAACAAATTTTGTTTTTTGTTACATAGTGAAAAATTCTTCTAATAATTTAATTTTATCTGACTCATTTATATTGACAATTCAGACATACATTATGCATTTTAACGTAGACGACTTTAAAATGATATTGCCAATATTGTTGAGTTGCGCTCCTGGGACGACTTTACTTATAAGATAGTTTATTCGATTACATGAAATCAACTTTAACTTGAGAATATCCGTCAGAAAAAATCATAGCATGTAATTCGTCTTTAAAAAGACAAACTTATGACATGATGACAGTAAAATTCTCCTGTTAGTGATTCCATAGTAAATTATGAGGGAAAAACCAGGAAAAAAACCTCATAATACTATCCCGACATGGTAACTATTTGTTCGTACATTTAGTTTACCTTCAATAAACACCAAAATTCTGATTTTATATGTTTCGTTATTTAAAAAACATAAATGATGTATCCTCTATATGTTACTGACTTACTAATACTGGTATTTTCTTATTAATAACTTTCTTTTTCAATATTGGTAACCAGATCCTACTACATTCTGACGGGGAATTTGCGACACAATTGGCCTCATTTAGCATAATTAGAGCCGCTTCTTTGATTTTTCTTTTTTTACCATCCGTTTCTTTTAGGACTACATTTGAGTTATTCCATTGAACCCTATGTTCATTATCCCATGCGTGTTTACATATTTGAGATCTATCAAATTCTCTATTTTTAATATAAGATTGATGTTCACTTATTCTAACATGTAATTATTGGCCTTGATGTTTCACCTAAATAAAACTGATCGCATTCACAAGGTATTTTATACATGCAATTCTTTGTCCTTTCTTGTTCATTGTCAGGTTTTGTTTTGGACAAAATAGATCTCAACGTGTTTGTTGTTTTGAATGTTGTTGAAATGTTGAATTTATTTCCTATCCTTTTAAGTTTTTCTCATAATTCTTTAAACTACATCATCTGCAAATAAATATATGATAGTTAGGGTAAAATACGTGAAATACATAGGTTTTTGTTAACCAACAGTCATTGTTACTGGGTTAATAGCTACGTATGCCTTGATACCAACATAGGTAGTTAAAAGGAAAATTCCATCATAATAAAACAACGCATACTACACTCAGCTCCATGAATGTTAGGTGTTTTCTCTCTTATTGTACGCAGAAAAATCTGGAAGCTTTTTCACAGTTACTTTAAAATGTGTGTTTTAGGTGCGTATTAAAATACTTCTTATGAGAAGAACCGAGGCTTAATAAAATATCTGGAACATACAGTTAGAAAAAATCAATATAGAATACTACAATTGATCCTTAAAGGCAAAATAAAAGGCCGTAGAGATGTAGGAGGTAAACAGGTTTCTTGGTTAACAAACATTTGTAAATAAACTCAGATATTAAATGCAGAACAGTTATTCCATGTAGCAATAGATCGAGAAGCCTTCCCAATGGTGATCGCCAATATCGGATAATTCTGATATGGTACATGAAGAAGAATAGGAGGCTTAACTGTGACAAATAAACAGAATATGGTTTATTATTACTCTTTATTGAGGAAATATCTCTACAAAAAAAGAAATCAGGAGTAGGAATTCTTTTGCTTCAAAGCCTAAAAAAACTGGTTTAACTGGTTTATAACTGGACTATTATAAATAGCTGCCAACAAAGTAAATTTAATTATGTTGACTGCAAACTTCTGGAATAAATGGGTACCATAAGAAAAAAAATCATCGAGATTAACAGTATATAGCGCGGTTACTGAGGAGCCACTTTTTACTGTATACTGAGCCACTGAGACAGACGACAATATAAGGAGCTCCCTAACTTTCGCGTGATTGGTTGGTGGGTGGGTCCCAATTTAAAAATTGGCGTGTTTCATGTTTATTAAAATGACAATTGAGGTATTGTCATTGTGGCACAGTCTATGTGGGTAAACAATTTGGCAATTTGGCGGTTGTTTGGCCACATTTGGCGCTTAAACATCTATGATTAGGCGGTTTTAATACCATTTTGCCAATAAGCAAGCACACAGAAAATTTCAATTTAAATTTTTCTCATTTATTTTTAAAAATCTGTTAAATTGTTTTAAAAATCTGTTCGTTAGAACACCATATTTAATTACCTAAGACTTTGTTATGCTATGATGTATGGTACTGAATGTAGGGCAGTAAAAAAGGGGATGAACAGAAATTACATGTTTCTGAAAATCCATGTACTTATACAAAAAGCGGAGAGGTACTTAGTCCCTGGAAGAGAACAGAAAAGTTTAAAAGAAATTACTTAGAGAAGCCGATTCCACATAGAGAAAGCTAACGAGAATAATAATGGTAATGAATGTTCTAGAAATAAAAATAATAAGAGGAACCTCTAAATCTTAGTTAAAAATTACGTAAACAAAAAAATTAAAACAATAATATCTATATATCTAATAAAAAAAAGCATCACTAGCTTTTAATTTCTAATAAAACTTTACTATTCAGCTTAATCCTAAAATGTGAATATCATCCGCTTTGTACCAGTACCACAATATATTGCTAATAAATTGTTTACCCACATAGACTGTGCCACAATGACAATACCTTAATTGTCATTTTAATAAACATGAAACCCGCCAATTTTTAAATTGGGACCCACCCACCTACCAATCACGCGAAAGTTAGGGAGCTCCTTATATTGTAGTCTCACTGAGACCACTAAGCCAATTCAACAAAATGCATCGTTGCGTACGCGCAATCTTAACTTAAAAAATTTGCAACAATAAACTTAAAATCGATTATTTTGTTATAAATTATTAAATATACATTAAAAATATGTTTACTTACGTCATTAATATACATGACGATATCTTTTACTGTACTCTAGCTTTATGACATTTTAAAGATACAACTTAAGCAGACAAAGTATCGTTAAATATATTCTGTATAAATAAATAGAATTAAAATTTATTTACTTTATGTAAAAATTAATTTGTTAAAAGTACTTCTTATTTCGATTTTCGATTTCGATTTTAACTTCACTATTAATGTTGTTGTATATTTTAGGCTGTATCTAGTGGTCAAAGTGCAGCGCATGTAGCTGTAAGTGCAAGAGATTCGCATAGGTTTACAGTGTCTGTAAATGTAGAACCTGAAGCCAAAGCTACATTTTTGTTGACCTATGAAGAATTACTAGAAAGAAGAAATAACCAGTACGAACTGGTATTAAATATCAACCCCGGACAAATTGTGAAAGATTTAAATGTGAAGGTAAGTTAAAAATATATAAACTGTAAAATGTAAAGAGTATAATTAATAAGAGTATAATTTTTTTTAACCTTAGATTCAATACCTATTTTTCCAGACGTTGACTTATTAAAAACAGCTAACATCTACACTTTCTTTAAATTTATATCTGACAATTTCTTATATTTACTAAATTTGCTACCCTTCCCATTAAAAACACTATTAGTGACTCTCCAAAAAGGATTGATCATGGAGTGTCACTTCACGCTAAGGCGCCGTTCATAGCGACTTTTTCTTAAACAAACAATACAGGCAAGGGTTAAAGGCAAATAACATAAAAGGAAAGACAGTAGGAAATACTTCAACTAAGACCGACCATGTCGCATCCACACATTACGGTTTGGATAGGGCAGTTTAAATTTAAGGTTTGGTTATTTTTTAGGCAGTGTTATTTTTTGTTAGAAGATAGCTGGAAATAAAATTTGTATGGCTGCTTGAATATACCATTATTATGACACTAAAATATTTAGTGGTTAAGGTCATAAAAACTGCCGTCACATTCGCGTGTATCTGTTCCTGAAAAATTTATTTTATATAAGTATGCGTTTACTGTAGTATGAATTTATTTTTGATTTAGCGTATGGCAATTTGATACACAACATTATCACATATTTGTTACAATCTAACATCTAATGTATTAATTCAATCGATGCTGGTGTTGCAGAGGCGAAGTCTAGAGGATCTCCATAATACTTCCTCCGAGGGCATTCGGCAATCATATGCTAGATGGTCTGTATCTCGGCGCCGCAGTCGCACTCAGCAGAGGTTGTCATCCTCCATTTATAAAGGGAATCTGCGCAGACTCCATGACCCGTTCTTATCCTGTTAAGAGTTGACCATGATTTTCGGGGGAGGTCAAAACCTGGTAGAGTTTCTGTGATGCATGGTGTGTTTCTCATTATTAGGTTCGGTCTGTCGCTCTGCATGTTCTTCCACTGGGAGTTCATTTGGAAATTGTTGGAACTCAAGTTTATTGCATCTCTAGTCGGAGGTTTTCTGGAGCGCAATCGAAGTGAATTAGCGTCGGCGACATATGTGTGTATAGGTAATTGCGGGTTGTCAAGCAGCTTTTGGAATTCTCTAAGCAGAGCATGCTGACGACGAAGATTAGGTGGAGGTATATGGCTCAGTAGTGGAAGCCACTCCACAGGTGTGTACTTGATCGTTCCAGATATGAGACGCATGGCGACATTGAGCTGGGTATCTATAATTTTTGTGTAAACGCTATTCAGCCAAACAGGAGAGCAGTATTCAGCTGCGGAGTATACGAGTCCAAGGGCTGAACACCGAAGTGTACCTGCTGATGAGCCCCATGTAGTCCCGCAAAGCTTCTGTATGATGTTGTTACGGGTTCTCAGCTTTGCTGAGGTGTTCTCAAGATGTTTCTTAAAGGAGAGTGTTCTGTCCAGGGTGACGCCGATGTACTTGGGATTATAGTTGTGCGTGAGCAGTTGGTTATCAATGTATACTTTAAATTTTGTGTGGGCCATTTTGTTGTTCAGGTGAAAACAGCTAACCTCGGTTTTTTTGGGGTTAGGTTTAAGTTTCCATTGTTTAAAGTACTTAACCAGGCGTTCCAGATCTTCCGTTAGGATTGCCTCGGCGTTTTGTATTAAGGAGCTTTGAGTTTCAAGTGCCCAGTCGTCTGCATATCCAAATTTTTTAGATCTGGTAGGGGGTATATCAGCTATATACATACTAAATAGCAGCGGTGCAAGTACGGAGCCCTGGGGGAGGCCATTATTAAGCGTTCTCTGTTTGCTCACTGTAGTTCCCATGATTACACGGATGTTTCTACTACTCAGCATAGTATTTATGAGTCGTGCGGTTGCTTTGCAGGGGATTATTTTAAGGAGCTTATAGATGAGGCCATATTTCCAAACTGTATCCTAGGCAGCCGATAGATCGATGAATGCCACAGACGTCTTCAGTTTTCTTTGGTAACCTGCCTCTATGTAGGTAGTTATAGAGAGCACTTGGTCAGTGGTGCTTCGTTGAGGCCTGAATCCTGCTTGTTCAATTGGTATTTTTTGAAGTAGGTTTGGGCCGATTCTGTTCAGGACCAGTCTCTCGAGGAGCTTGTAAGCTGAACTGAGTAAAGCGATGGGGCGGTAACTCGCTGGGTTGTCTGTTGGTTTTCCAGGTTTCAGGATGGCTATGATTTTTGTTTGTTTAAAGAGGTTTGGTAGGTTACCTGTTTTGATTATATCTGTATAGAATTTAGACAACCAGGTTTTTGCAGATTTCCCACAATGGATCAGGAATTCGGGAGGTATACCGTCTGTACCAGGAGCTTTGTTAGGTTTAATGTCTTTGATGGCGTTTGAGACTTCTTCTGGAGTGAACGGTGCGGAGTACTCTGTATCTGATGGACAGGCAGCTTTTAGATGTTTAAGCTCCCTTTTTATAGTAGTGGTAAACTTTTTATCACATGCTCCTCTGGAGGTGGCAACTATATGTGATGCAATTTTATTAGTGTTGAAGTCGTGGATTTGTCGTGTTGCCAGTTTGTCACTTCCGAGTTTTCTTATGAGCGACCACGCTTTACGGCTAGACTTTTTGAAATCTAACGATTCGACTTGATTTGTCCATTTCTTTCTTCTTGCTACATCAAGGCTCAGGAGAAGTTCGTCCGCAATGTCACTTTCACCGGTTTCAAGATATTGTGATTATTTTATGTAGTATGAATAAAACGACATTTAACATACATAGTGTAAATTTTCCGAGATATGGGGCTTCTCGTATTTAGGGGAGTAGATGGAAGAGTGGGATAGATATATTGTAGTACATATTTTTGCTACTTTTAGAGGATTGCCACAAAAACTCCGAATTAAATCTGACGTGATTCTTCCTAGCTGTAATTAAATACTATTTATGTAGTTTGTTGTATTCTAGATTTACTAAAGTAGCGTCTTTAGCCAAATAGAATTTTTCATTGCCTGGAATATTGAAGTAACCTTTTACCCACCCAAAACTAACAATTCTTCTTACAAAAATTAGAAGCCTTAATATTTCAAGACTATCTCCAATTAGTCTGTTGTAGTATATATGGGTTTAGAGAAGTGTCTTAATGCGAATAGGAGCTACTTATTTCGATCCATTAAATTTCATAAAATTTATTATTGCCACTTCTTCAAAATAAAGTTATTACTAAAATTATTATAGTTTAATCTATTGGACCAACAAACATTTCGAGCTGCATCTGATGCCTTTATTGATTATATTAACAAGTTATCTGCTTAATGGCGCAATTGCTTATGCCATTCAATTGAAAAAGTCCAAATAACACAGGTTTATTTTAAATTAAATCGCTATATGCAGAAACAATACATGTCTAAAAAACGATTTTTTTAGGAGATGCAAAAACATTATATTGTAAACAAAAATACATTTTCGGTAAATTTGATAGTCAAAAATGGTAAGTAAAGGTATTTTTAACACCGCACAGTAATGCTTTTAGTTTACAAATTAAAGTTGTAGTTTCTGTGATACATTTTCATAAACGTTACAAAAAATTCTCAACAGTTAACTATTAGCAGTAGTAGGCCAAAGAAGTATTAAATTATAAAATTCTATGCATTGTTCTTCAACAAATACGGAAAATTGTTTGATGTCTTCCGTGTTTTATATTTGATGGGCAATTTTCCTAATGGATAGGCAGGTTTCGATGGTAAAACGATACCAATTTTTCCAGGCTGTTGCATCGGGAATGTATGTTTAAAGACGCCATCTATAAACTCAAAAGCAGTAACAATCCCCCTTTTTCCACTCTTGTAAATAAACTGTGAAAATTTGTTGATATTGAAGTGTACTTTTTCATTGCGTGCTGTACTTTTTAAAGCAGTTTCTTCTGATATGCAGTTTTTTTTATATAAAGTAGACCACCAATCTTTAAAATTAATCAGATCTTCTATTTTTACTTCTTTTACAGATTTTTTTTTCTTATGTTACTGCTAGTTATAATCATTTCGGTTATTTGATGGACCGTAAAAATTTTGTCAAATTTTCTCATGTTTCTCTTTACAGTTGCAAAATCACTATCACATGGGAGGAAAAAATGTCCTCTAACTGGAAAATAGTGTATAATTTTCGAAAATCTAGCACTGTCCGTTAGAGAACGGAGCATGCAAATGAGTGTGGTTTTTATTTTGTCCTCAGCAGTTGTCACTATATAAATGAAGCTCGTTTATATTGTCTGAAATTTTGTTTAAGTAATCCAAAAGAAACGAACAAATTTTATTATCGGTTTGTTTACCTTCTCCCTCATGGTAAATAAACATTCTAGCAGTATTGTCTTTGATATTGTGGATACAGAATACAGAGACTGTTAATTGTTGATTATAAAAGACCTACCCTACAGGTGCTTTTGGCAACTGAATATTCTGCATAAAGTCGAATGCTAATGCTAATATGTTACCATTGTTGGGACCATCACTTTCATTTTTCAATTTGGTGTTAAATTTGTTACTCCGACGCGTATGGACCATAAGCTCCACCACTGCTGCATGTTTGGCGGTTTCATTTAAATTGGGGTCTTTTGTCTTATTACTTAATGTTTCACGAGTTGAACAGACATCAATTTGTGATCGATCAAATCTAAGAGAAAAGTTTTCTCCAAAAAAATCGCGTGTACTAAGTATAACTTGTTTTTAAACCAGGATGTTTCTTCTTAAATAAGTCAAACATTATTTTAAGATTTAACTGACTCTCAAGGTATTTATTTTCTTAATTGGAATAATGACTGATTTTAATTGGAAATGATTCGACATGCTAACGTACGGCGGATTGGACATCTTCTAATTTATTGACACTTGGATTAAGACCACGCAGATCTCTTGCAGATTTTCCGCGAACAGCAAAATCTCTAAGTCTTCTAACTTGATTTATGGTAATAGCAAACACTGAAGTAAAGGCATTTCAACAAACTTCAGTTCTAACAGTGCTTTTGTATATAATATTTAGGCTTCGGTTTATTTCCAACATGGAAATAACTTTCCTAGCGCGCCGCCTCTGTCTATGGCAAACTTCTATTAGTCCTTGTAAAAATACATATTGGTTATCTTTACAATCCAAAGAATAAAAACGTCTTAAATTATGTTGCAATTCCTCGTTAGCAAATTTGTCAAATCATTTTTGTTTGCACCTTTAAAAAAAAGGAAAAATCAATAAATTAACATACGTGAAATTATTATGTAAATAATATTTCCTGCAAGGCGGACCTAACTTTTTACCAGGAATGTTATCTCCCTTGTAATTCATGTATGGTTCACCTTTTGTACGTGACTTTTTAATAATATTTTGTTGGTAATTTTCAGGAACAGCTTTCCTGTTTTTATGGGTAGTAACTTCGAGACTCGTTTCCATTTTGCACTATTTTTAATAACAAATCACTTTAACTAGAACTCAAAACACACGATGTGTAACGACTACACAGATTATGATTGAATTTCTCGTAAAAATAACCGATTGCATAGCTGTTGAAGCGCACGCACATCTAATCTGTTACTCAGCACAAACTACATGTGTCCAGGACTCGTGTTGTTTCTGCTGATTACCAAATAAATATATCGTTGATTACTAGATAAGTTAAATATGGACATGTGTTATTTTGCTGTAGTACGATATAATTATGTGTATATTCTTCCAAAAATCGAATTTACCGAAAATGGACATGTATTGTTGCTGCCTATACCGATTCAATTATTCATTTAGTAAATTATAATTAGGTATATTATAATTAAAGAAGAGCAGACCAGACAAACTTGGAAATATAGGAGAGGGAAATATGGGCGCAGGGTATTTTCAAGAAAATGACATAAGTCTAAATAAGAAGAATAAATATACAACTTGTAACACAACAAACGATGGACAGTGCTTAACATGCACAACATTTACGAGGACGCGTTGCTCATGATCGGAAAAGATGTGGGGGTGGTTTTTACAACAGTCTTTCTTCCACATAAACAAAACAAAAATTGAAGAAAAAACAGTGCCTGTCGCTGTATCCTAAATTTTTTTTATACCGTGGTGTTTTTTATTTTCAAAACATGATTTTTATTTATTGCAAAAATAAAATATTTTTTTACATCAAGGTTAACATCAGCGAGAGCAGACCACTAGTATTTGTAAAAACTCCAGCTTTACGTTCTGGTAACGAGGTTAGTAAAAACGAAGATAAATTATCACCCTCTGCAAACATAGAAAAGATAAGTCCCACAAATTCAATTATTACATTCCAACCAGATGTTGAAAAACAAAAGGAATATGGAAAGGAATTAGTAGGTAAAGAAACAGATGGACTTACTGGACAGTTTATCGTTCAATATGAAGTTGAAAGAGATCCATCCGGAGGAGAGGTACGTAATATTAAGTAAACGCAGTTAAAATTATAATATAGGTTATTATTCATAACATAATATTTGTTTACGATATATCTGTAAATATCTATTTATAGTTAAATATTCTAATACCTACTCTAGTAAACAGAATTACAAATTTATATTTTGTTCATTAAATATTGACATAAACAAGCGCAATAAATTATCGCCCACTATTAAATTTTAGGAATTAATATTAAAATGTTTTGTTAATTTTTAATTTATAAGGTTTTTTATGGTATATTTTAAAACACGTAATAATCTCTGAATCAATAATAATATTAGTTTAAAGACAGTCATTACTTTTTACAATCAAAATTTTTCCTAAGATTTAACAACGAATATGCAGTTTTATCAATCACAGGGAACTACTTATCGCAAAGGCAAGAACAGTCTTTAACTGTCACAGAAAAATTTAATGTTATATCTAAACAATGATATACGAACACAACACGAGTATTGAGATGCTATATTTTCTACACTTTTATAATGAAGTTAACATATTTCATATAAACCTGGACCTTTAAAAAGAAAGTAACGTCTTAATGACTAAAAGCCTACAAAATATTTTGTGGTAGTCGCATGTTCCGAACTCCATACAGTTTTCATGTATCTATTATGTATATATGACTATGTTTTTTAATGTGCCTCCAGTAAGTTGTCGTTCCATCGCTTTTGTGGTCTTCCACTGATTTTCTTTCTAATGGAGAACTGTCTCTTGCCATCTTTACCACTCCCTATTTGTTGCAATTTTATTTATCTTCTTATTCTTCTGTTGGTGCCTATTCGTTTCGAATATTGACGATGATTCTGGCTATAATTATTTTATTTAGTGATGCTTTAAATAGATTAGTTGTTATGGAGAACTATTTTCTTAGGTTTTTTAATAGATAAAATTTATAATATAATTTTAAACAAATTATATTCTTTTTTTTGTGTGTTTTGGCTTGGACAATTGTCATTCAGCCAGTCTCAATCAAAATAAGTTTATTAATGTAGTGTGTGTGTGTTTTGTGTGTGTAGAGTAATTGTCTTGATACTTAGCAAAGTCGACGTCATTGCCTTTGCCAAGAGACGCTAACTGTATCCGAACGTCTGCGGTCCCTCCGGTGAGTACCGATCACACAAGGATAGAAATTATTTTCATTTATTAATTTTTTTAATAAACGAAAATTTCCACTCAGGTGAGATTCGAACTCACGACCTTTAGGTTTAAAGGTAGGCGCTCTTACCACTGAGCCACAGAGGGGGTAGAAATTATATTCAACTCAATCATCCTACAAAAGCGATCCTACTTATAAGCGCTATATCTCCGCTAACTTCTAGTATACAAACTTATTATAAAACTGTATGCATTATGATATATTTTAGATCCTATTAAAAGACGGCTATTTTATTCATTTCTTCGCACCAAAAGATATAGAATCTCTACCCAAAAACGTGTACTTTATTTTGGACACGAGTGGAAGTATGGTTGGAATTAAAATACAACAACTAAGGAATGCCATGAACAGTATTTTAGATGAAATTAAACCAGAAGATACGCTTAACATTGTAGAGTTTAATAGTGAAACTTTTGTATGGAATATTGAAGCTGAAACATCCGTAAAAGTCAAGTTTAGTAATTATACTCATCCTTACGAACAACTTAAGGTAGGTGCTATTTTTCATTAAATTGATCTTAAAAATCAGCTGATTGATAATTTAGTTATTATTTTTCATACTTTAATAATCAGCATAATCATACTTTTACCCAACATATATATTTCTTTTATACCCATAGTGAACCTTCATTAAAAAAATACAATGATTAATTGTTTGCCTATTGGGTCGATGGATTTTTTACTTAATAAGGAAAAAAACCTCCTTGAAATTAACAGGTGTGGATTTTTGATCGAACCTAACCTTCATCCGGTTACTGGTGAATTGAAGCTCATTTCTGGCGAAATCGTACACCTTAACCAGTAGATACTTTACCTCCTGGTAGATTGCCATCCTGGAAATCGATGGAAAGCTTTATCTCTCGACCAGTCAATAACATAGCTGGAGTGTAAGCAGTTGCTCTATGTTGGAGCTTCATTAGGCTAGCAGAAACAGAGATAGGTACTTGGTTGATAGTCCGGGTATGTCTTTCTACCATGCCGTCGGATTAAGGATGAAGCGGTGTCGTTCTGATCTTCTTATTTCCCATCAAAACCATCATGGTTTTCCAAATTTTCGAGTCGAAATTGCGCCCCCAGTCAGAATGAAGCATAAGTGGAACTCCATGCCCGAAAAGGATAGGCATGGGGTTCCCAAACAGGTTCCTTACCAACTACTGTGATTGCTTCTTAGTTGGGTAGTGCAACTACTTCTGGCCATTTGGTAAAATAGTTCATAGCAACCATCCCATACTGATTTCCTAATGTTGTTGCTAGAAATGATTCCAGAATATCAATACCAACTCGTTCACTTCTCGTTTAGGTTAACTTTTTGCTGTTATCATAGAGTTCTGCTAGTCCATACTTAACACATGCCTTTGAAAGAACAAATTAGGTCACTGTAAAGAAGCTGTACTAAAAATATCATTGGTTACTGGTGTCCTTTAAATAAATAACTTTGATCAGACGTTTACTATTTTTAAAACTTTTAAGTTAACTATTTAAATTAGGAATTAAACTTAAATCAATCGTCTTCTTCTTCTTCATGTACCATGTCCTTTCAGAACGTTGGTTACCATCATAGCTATTTTAATTTTATTCACTGCCACCCTAAATAGCATGCTTGTATCTACACCATACCAATCTCGCAAGTTCTTCAACCATAAGGTTTTTCTTCGTCCTGGACTGCGTTTGACTGCTATTTTTCCTTGCATGATATTTTGTAGCAATTTATATTTGGGACCTCTCATTACATGTCCGAAATAGTCCAGCTTTCTCTGCTTGATGCTTTTTATGATCTCAGTAGTCTTGCCTAGACGTTCTAGTCAATCAATCGTCAGTACAGGCAAAATGACTATCTTCTGACATATACAAAGAGTGTATTATTATTATAGTAGCAGCAGGTATTACATTAAACATTATTCTGGCAACGTATTAAATAACCAATAATATAATATTTTATATTTTTTAGGAAAATGACATGCCTGGACCTCTTCCTGCTTCACAACCAAATATTGCCAAAGCAAAGAAACTTGTTTCTAATATGGTCGCAACAGGAGGAACTTATATGATTGGTGGGTTAGAAACTGCTCTCTATCTTATTAAATCTGAGATGGAGAGATCAGTAGGCACTGACAATAAAAGACAGCCGATTGTAATCTTTTTGACGGATGGACAACCAAATATAGGTTTATATTCTACAGATGAAATTACCAAACAAGTAAGAGTTTCAAGAGTTCTTAAGTTTGATATATAAATCTACATGTAAAAATGCATGTTAGTTATATATACACCCACATAAAAAATAAGCATAAGAGATGTGTTCTTTATTCTATTTAGCCAAGTTTAAATAGGTCTAACTGGTAAGCTGGTTTTGTATGTTTTCAATAAAATTGATAGTGTGTAAAATAGTTTAATAATTAAGCTAAGTATACTTTCGACATAATAAATGTCATCATCAGAGCTATCCTAAAATAACGTTAAGTTAAGTAAATTTTTTATATAAAATACAATGATAGAAAAAACTTACGTCAATTAGGTAATAAATACTTCATAGAAGGACAATTGTGCACAAACGACATATTAAAATTCAAAGATCGGGCTCTGTAGGCCACAGATCTTGGGTCTAACCCTTATACATATGTATAATTCACATTTAAAAAGTTTTTATAAAAACATGGTTACCACATACAGTAACGACAAAAGCTGTCTTTGACTTACATTTTTGAAGTAAAATGAAAATGAAATAGGAAGCTCGGATATACGGAAATAAATCCTAGAGCGACCTCTGTATTTAAATTATTAATTAAAAATTTAAATACAGAGGTCGCTCTAGGATTTATTTCCGTATATCAGAGCTTCCTATTTCATTTTCATTTTACTTCAAAAATGTAAGTCAAAGACAGCTGTTGTCGTTACTGTATGTGGTAACCATGTTTTTATAAAAACTTTTTAAATGTGAATTATACATATGTATAAGGGTTAGACCCAAGATCTGTGGCCTACAGAGCCCGATCTTTGAATTTTAATATGTCGTTTGTGCACAAATGTCCTTCTATGAAGTATTTATTACCTAATTGACGTAAGTTTTTTCTATCATTGTATTTTATATAAAAAATTTACTTAACTTAACGTTATTTTAGGATAGCTCTGATGATGACATTTATTATGTCGAAAGTATACTTAGCTTAATTATTAAACTATTTTACACACTATCAATTTTATTGAAAACATACAAAACCAGCTTACCAGTTAGACCTATTTAGAAGTGTGTACAAGTCTTACAGTCTTTTTCAAGTTTAAATAGGCTTAAAATATTGGTTATCCAACATTTTAATAAACACTGTATATTCAAATTTAAAGATTTAATTAAATACCAGAGATGCAATTTAAAATTAAAACTGCAAGTTAAAACTTCAATACTTTCTGCTCAACATTCTGTCAGCTCAACAACGATTTTTTAACAAAAATTAATACAGCTATAGCTTTATACATAAATTTTACAATATTCTAAAACAGAAGCAAAAATACAAGTTGTTAAGTCTATAAGGGTCCCTAAATTCTACATTTTGTGTAAAAACAACAACTTGGAACTGAAAACTTAACTTAAGAAACTTGCCAAACAAAACAAAGTAACTTTTTAATAAGTTCTAGGATCTTAAGGAATTTTTAGTAACGATGGAATAACAGTCTTGCTAACAAATAAACTAGAACTTGCTTTTTGGGACCAGAGTACTAGTTTAGGATATCGCAAAACGAGACATCGCTACAAATATATTCAGTGAAAGATACTACAAAAGTGTTCTATCTAAAGCAAGCCAAAAGGTAATTGTTACCTTCTACTTGCTATTCAAAAATTCTCCTACAGCTTCAAGAGACTGAGATCAAAATTATTACAGATTTTTTTAAGTGGGTAATCACGTCAGCAAAATCTTTGTTAGATGGTAAATGTAGACCAAGTAAAGCTAATTTCGTCAAACGTAGTGTAATGGGCAAACATGTCTGCAGTTTTAATGTAATTGTCCGTCAACGCTATAATTACATAGACCAGGTCTATTTAGAACCTAATCTGATGACAGAGGTAGCTTTTACACAGATAATGGGCTTCCTAATAAAGCTAGAACTTTTAGTGTAACAAAAATGAAGAAATGAAGTATGATTTAAAACCAACATGCTATTGATATTGCAAAATATAGAGAAATAAAAATGAGAAACTATACATCAAAATATGAAATTTATTCTGCTTTATCTAACATGTCTATCTGGGATAAAATAATATAAGTATTAACTTATAAACTTAATAGTTCATCAATTATTTGACATCGATTTATTTCCTTTAAATTACTTTTTTCTTTAAAGCACAAATTTCTGTAACACATTTGTAAAAAATATCCCTTTTAGGTAACACATTTGAATTCGGATGGTATTAATGTGCCCATTTTCTCGCTGTCGTTTGGACAAGGAGCGGACAAAGCCTTTTTAAGAAAGCTTTCACTCGAAAATTCTGGATTTTCGCGACACATTTATGATGCAAGCGATGCTGCTCTACAGTTGCACGACTTTTATAAAATAATATCATCACCTCTAATGACCAACATCAACTTTAAATATGACACGGAAGCCAAGGAACTGACTAAAATCCACTATCCTATCTACTTCAGAGGAAACGAAATTGCTATTGCTGGAAAGTATACAGGTAAGCTTACAAAACTCCTATATTACATAAACATTTTTAATAAAATATAATATATCTTTATTGCATTAAGGACATAATTATCATAATACATATTTTAAATAATAGTCCAAATTGACCATCAAGAAACAATAACAATATTAAAATTGTTGTTTAATAATTAATGGTTGTCTAGATATCTACTCTAAAGAGCATAAAAAATCAATAAATCGTTACTTATGGCTTTGTCACAGTGGACCCTGTAATCCACTGAACACATTATATTACTTCATACGGCAGTTACATATTTTCAAAAGGCTTTATTAGTTATAGGCTTCTCTTCCAGTCTCAAATGATGCTAGTATAAACACAAAAATTCCACTTCCATTTATATTTAAAGAAATGCTACCTTTTGTATCGATAAAGATCTGAAAATCAATTTTTATCTAGAAAAGGGAATGTAAGAAGAGAACCTTTTTAGATTTGCATTAGAAAAAGTTTTCAAACAGTCGTTATGACTGGAATCCATAACTTTTTTTGTTGGTACTCTTGCTTTAAGTAATGTGCTCGTAATTGCTTCTCCATTAAGTCTATGCATTCTAGTACTCAGAGATTTGAACTCTTAAAATCATACGAACAAGCTGACGAGTTCTGATTTGGTGTTTTTGAGTCTTGAAATATGTCATTATTTTCACGTTCAGAGCGACTGTGAATTGCCGTTCTGAAGAGGCTTATTAGGTCAAAAGACTTATAAGCAGATACATAGACGCACTATACGTGAAATCAAATCTTAACTGTCTTTTTCTTTTTAATTGAAAATTGTTTATAATTAGAGAATCATTAACTTTGGGAATTTTTTGTTTAGAATTATCCCAAAAACCCAAAAAGTAGATTTCAGAAATTATTATGTAAATAAAATGAGGTCAACTTTTATGCTGATGTTTCCTAAGTAATTTATTATTTGTGTCATTTAAAATCCATTGACGATCCATCCTTGAAGCTCGATTTTCAAGATGTTACAATGATTTAACATTGTGGCAGTGATATGCAAGCTTTTTTATATTGGTTTAGTTTTCAATACAGAAGATTTAGAAATTGAAGTAGTGCAAGTACCGAGTGTGTACGATAATAAACTAAATGTTATTTCTGGAAGAAGAATAGTCGATATCAGACAATTTATAGCCGAAGTGAAATCCTTAGAGTCATGAATGCCATGTCAAAAAACTGGATACTTGTCATTTGAGAAAGAAGTCGCCTTGGGTTAAATTCTCAATTCGTTTTTAAGTGTGCTGCTTGTGGATTCAAAAAAATGATTTATACCAACAGGGATAGATACTGTGTGAATCTTACTCTCGTACCGACGTTAATTATAAACAAAAATGCTAACAAGTATGAATAATTTAATGATAATACGATCTTAACAGATATTGCTGTCGCAGTATCAACATATTTCTCTGTCGACAACAGTGTATAGACAACATGAATCATTTTTAAATGATATGTGTAGATGGAACTTTATTTTTTTATTAACAATATGTTCTTGCAAAGGCATAACTTTGATTCGTTCGTAAACCTGTATTAGACATCACAAAAAATTAAGCAAAAATTAATAAAACACGTTTTTTAATAAACTCACTGTATGATATATTATATTCCGATTGAAACAGCAGAGCAGTAAAATATACATTAAGAAGTTGTAAAAGATATCTTCGCTTACTTAATCCACTAGTAGTAAAGTTATCAACATTAAATGGCAAACCAGTATTTTTACGTGACTTTAACTTTCTGTGATAAAATTACTGTCTACACAATTTGGCAACTCAGCCAATGGATGTATGGTTAGAAAATTGTAATTTATGTTATGGTTTGTAAATATTATAGAGTCATCATCTAGAAGTCTACAATTAAGTTGAAAATTTTACCATAGCAGCATGTGCAGTAGAACCATCTCTAGAATCAGAAACCAACTAATTGAGGGTGCACATCAAGCTTAAGTGAATTGTTCAGTGAAGACTTTCGCAATTTGCGGTCGCGGTAATGCTAAACTCTTTAACGTCCAAGGCATTTTGTTTTCTACAATGATTTAAATGAATTAGAATTTATATAATAATAAAATCTTGGACTCATTTTTTTTTGTTTGTACACATCGTACCAGCGACACCCGAGCCTTGCGGTCATTACATTTTTTTAGAACTTACATAGTTTATTTATACCAATATTTATTTTAGGTAACAAACTAACTGCTGAAGTAAACGCTTTAGGCAGAAGAGGGCCCATTAGGTTATTACCAAAAATAGAAGAACCCGTTACATCTTTGGAGAGATTGTGGGCTTATCTGACCATTAAACAAACTCTTGAAAAAAGGGAAGTAGCCGAAAATAAGGATGAGTTGACCAAAAAAGCTCTAGAATTAGCTCTTAAGTATTCTTTTGTGACTGAGGTTACCTCACTAGTTGTTGTGAAACCCAACGCAACTAATGCTGTTAATACTGAAGAAGCATCTCAATCAAATAGAGGAGGTAAATTAGATTTAAAGGATTTGAATTAGCAAAAGTTAACAAGCAAAAATTGGTTAATATTTTATAACTATATTTCCGAACTACATTTATGGTTATTTTTTAACAATCAGTTTTTATTTTAATTGGAACAATAAGTCTACTGTACTGTACCTATATTTATCTATAATATTTCTAATGTTTGTTTATATTACTTTAGCCTGTGCACTTCACCACTAACATCGATCAGCTTACTCGCGAGGAATTTGCGATGCACACTTGTCTCTCTTGTATTTTCTGCTGAAGTTGGTGACTTCTTACTTCATAGTAGGAACTTTTAAGTCTATTCCTATCACTTCATTAGGCACGTATCAAGAATCATTTACACCATTCGTAAAACTTTATTTAAAAATCTTTAAAAAATGTTTAAGTTACAATTACTGTGATAGTCCTCGTGGGTTTTAATATAGAATTATAGATAACTATTTTGTTTTTGTTGTTAGTAGCGATATTTATATTATCATCTAGTAGAGTCTATAAGAGATGAGTAAGTACAATTAGTTTTCTTTTAGTATAGATATGCTTCCACCAAGTCAGTCTCTATCCAAATGTATACCTATTTTGCGATGTCTGCGATGATTTTGTTTCGTTTTTCTTTGTTTTTCGTTTTTTGAGCATATAATTTTGTTAAAATTAATTTGTAAGTTCTGTGACACTCTTTAAGGGTTTATTTGTGATGTAAGAACAGCCGTGCTATCGGCATATGTGGTGGCTGTGGTTACTCTGGTAATTGGTAAGTAAACAGTGAATCATCAACATCATCATCATTTAGCCCTTTGTATACACTGCTGGACATATACCTACCTTATTTTTGCCCATTGTGCTCTATCTTAAGCACTTTTCATCCAATTTTTTGACATTTTCTTGAGATCGTCAGTCCAACGAGTAGTGGGTCATCCTATACTTTTTTTTGTCTTACCTTGACCTTCACTCAAGCAATCTCTTCATCTACCTTTCGTCATTGATTCGAGCGACGTGTCCGGTTCAGTTCCATTTCAGTATGGCAATTTAGGAAATTACATCGATAACTCCTATTCTATACCTTAAGTTTTCATTAACCTTAACTCAACTCAGAAGTTAATAAATTGGTATATCACTTTTAAAGATGTCTTTGAGTTTTTCTACAGGCTTTCCATGCTAGGTTTATTCTTCTTCGTAGTTCACATGTTTGGTTGTCTCTTGCGATCTTTATTTCGTGTCCAAGTTATATGTATTTTTACACCAGCTCTATTTCGTTATCTTTAATATTAATATTTCTGCTAAGTACTAGGTTTGTCATAAATCAAAATTTTTCTCAAGGCGATTCGCCACTATTTCTGGAAAGGATTTGTATAGGTGACTAAGAAGATTTATGGGTCTGTAGTTTTCTAATTCATTGGGATCTCCTTTTTTGTAAAATTGAATTACATCACCATTGTGTCATTTTTGGGGTATATTGCTGTCCAAAAGGCACATGTTAGAAAGATTTTTTACTTTTGTAAGTAGCAAGTGCCTCCGATTTTGATTGCATTAGTAACTACACAATCTTCGCCTGGAGATTTGTTATTCTTAGCTTTCCTTAGGGCTAATTTTATTGCCTCTATTGTGATTTCCCGTAGTAGTTCTGATCTTTGGTTGACACTGCCATTTTTTCTTGTTAATATTTCTGGTACTTAATCTTCTCTGCTTTTTTTGTATTGGCTTGTGTACAGCAATTTGTAGAAGTCTTCAACTATTTTAAGGGTGTCCTCTCTGTTGGTTGTAAGATGATCATTTATATCTTTAATCTTTATTATCTGACTTGTCCCCGTTCTAAGTCTTCTTCTCAATATGATCAATATTTCTATTGATCTCAATGGTATTGGTTGTATTTTCGAGCGTCTTATCTAACAGCTTTGGTTATTTCTTTATTTCTTAACAGTGAATAAGAAATATAAAATAGGGTCAGTAACGCTATCTTAGGGCATACTAGACTTAACTTTTGAATAGCTTGAATCGGACTTTGTGCTGTTTAGCTACAGAATACTTGTGGAATGTGTACGATTTCAGGATTTGATAATAATGGTGGCAAAGATTTTTCTTGAGTTTATATAGATTCCATGTCTGCCGTGGAAATAAAATTGATGTTGTGGGATTAAGTTTCGCTCTATAAAGATGGCTCTTACCGTTTTATGACAAGGTTTTTAAGTACTTTAGAAATCACTGTTGAAAGAGTTCTAGACCTGTAGGATGCTAACTCATGGCAAATTGTGCACGTTTGAATATTCTGAGAATTAACGAAAATTTTCATTGGTTTTCGTAATAATTGTGGCTTAGAATTACATTACATAATTTCCTATTTATTATTTTGTATACAGGGACCCTTCTAGAATTGATTTTGTTAATTATTACATAAGAGGTTACCTTACAAATAGATTTGCGAATCGACAAATCCATCTACTGAGGTGTTTCGAAGAATCTTCGTATTTCGTTATGTTCCTTCGTTTGAATGTAGTCGTAGGGCTTAAAAAGATTTTTTTAATATTCCTCAAATGCATTTGCCTTTTACTTATTATCTCAATCTAGAGTCAGTTGTCTTTTATTGAGGGGTATTTGTTGCTGAGGATGCTTGATTTTTCGTGTTCCATGCCAACTGTGTGGATATTTTTTGTGTGGTTTTTGTAGGTGTTCGACTTTCCAGGAATGCTTTTATAGTTTTGATTTTAATTGTATGTAAAAATGTTTTTAGTTCTGATATGACTTTACTATAGTTTCTGTTATTGGTTAAGGTTTTACTATTTTTTCTGTCCCCTTTTTAGGCGATTTTTTCTTCAACGAAACTTTGTTAGTTTCATCCTTATCTGCATTTCTATTTATAGATGGAGTTGCATACCAAGCAGCTCTTTATATAATACCACTTTTATATTAAATTCAGATTCAGGAAAATAATAACTTTAAATATTTCGTATACTTTTGCTCTAAAAGCAACTTAATTTGTGTTTTAATTGAATAGATGTAGATTTTTTGGTTTTTGCACTATCTCTGCGAAGTTGAAATACTCTATCGGAATAAAGCTGGATTCAGTTTTTAGATATCTGCTATCAATACCTTTGTGATAAAGTAGTTAATGGCATCTGGAATATTTTTAGTATTTTTAGAATAGGAAGACTAATATGTTAGTTCAGAAGTTGCTATCAATATCAATTTAGACTGTTGTTATTGTACTGATAGTGAGCATCAGTTTTTTGCCTTTGTGTTTATCCATCGGGATTCTCATAGTGTATACTTGGCGTTAAAGTCTTCGCCGCTTATAAATTTATTTCCAAGTGTTTGGATATAGCTTTCATAGTCTTCTTTTTATTGTTAAATTTAGGTGGGCAATGTACTGTGGATATTATTAGTGTGCCTGTATATTTACTGGTGACAATATGGTAAACAAAACCAGAATAAAATCTGATGTTAGTAATTAATACGGAAGGCATCTGCTTTTACAATTAAAAAATAATAAAGGCATCGCAAATTTTTACATATTTGATGAGTTTTTATAATGCTTTCATTATAGATATGGTATAATGCTATTTAAAAATATTATATTATCCATATAGTGATAAATTTTGTACATTATCTAATATAGCTAACTATTTACCAATTTACATAATAAAAACACATTAAATATTTCTAATACCATTTTTAGGGTCAGTAATAGCTTATAACAAAATGGCTAGAAGACCTGCCATTGGTCATTCATGTAAGTATCACTATAAATTTAAGATGGCTTAATTTAAACTAAGTTGTTTTAACAATGTTTTTGCAATACACATTTAACATATGTTTACATGTTATGTTAACACTTTAACACAGAAATTTGTTATATTTGTACTAAACATTAGTATTACCAATAACTAACTTGCTGTAATTATTAAGCTCTTTACCACTAAGAACTTAAAATATCTACTCCTCAATTTCAAAGCTATCCCATCTATCCACAAGTATTGCAAAAATGACTGCCAAAACTTACATAACGTTTGTGAGCGTCCTGAAAACAGGTCAGGTCCTCTAGCTATACTCCTTGGATGCCTTATTTACCTAGCTGCATTTTAAATCATGCGCAATTTTGCGTCAAATTGCAGATCAGAAAATAGACTCGTAAGACACCCAAATAAACCTAACTTCTCTTTTCAGGTGATATATTCCTTCATTGAAATTGCTTCAGATTAAGTTTACAACCCTTTTTGTAACAAGGTAGTTTGATTAACAAGTGGAAGTAACACGAGGTCGCGAGCTTAGTGCTTTACGAAACAAAACGAAACTCATCAAACGCCCCATTGTGAGATCCATACGGTATCCGTTTGACAGCCTTGCTAAATAGCTGGACGATAATTTACAAACACACATAGAAAAAAACGATGCCTTTGTAAAAGACTCTCAAAGACTAAAATGTATTTTTTCATTCTGCGTTTACATTTTTCAAAAATATTTATTAGTTTTCTCAGGATTCGAAAAAAATGAATGCATTTAAAAAGCATTGGCCCGAAATTGTGCGCCTACGCTCTTAATAAGATCGGTTTTGATATATGGGGCTAAAACGTGGACCTTATCTTAAAATGATAAAAGACTTCTTAGTATTTTTGAGAGAAAAATTCTTAGAAAGATTTTTGGGGCCATAAATGAAATGGGCTATGGCGTCGAAGATACAACTTTGAACTATATCAGTTAGAAACCGATCCAGATATTATGAAATTCGTTAAAGTGCAGACACTTAGATGGGCTAGACACACTGCGAGGATGTCAGATCACGAATACGCAAAGAAATTAACATTTTAAAAACCAGAGGGCACAAGAATCAGAGGACGACCACGAATGAGATGGATTGATGATGTGGAAGAATTTATACATATTCCAAGAGTTATAAGATGGAGGAAAGTTGCTAGGAAACGACATAAGTGGCGATTTCTTTGTGAGCAGGCCAAGATTTGCAACGGATTGTCTAGCCACTTATGATGACGATGATGAGTTGCGTCACTAATGTTCTCAGCAAGCGATACGAGGTTTTGTACTGGTTTAAATTCTACTATTTTTCCTTTTAGCTTTATCTTTATCACGTTTATTCTTATATAGTTTTCACGTTTTGTGTGCAAACCTCTTATACGGTGTCGAAGCATAGACATTAAAAATATCCACCATTAATCGTCTGGACGCCTTTGAAATGTGGCTGCACAGACGTATACTAAAAATTCTAGAGACAGCTCTACTATAGGATAAGGATTTTTCTCTAAAAGGGGCCTCTGTCTGTTTTCGTATAAATTAATAATTTTTAAAACTAAATATAACTTTTTAAAATAAAGTTTAGTAGTAAGATTATATTTTGTAAAAAATATGCTTGAGTAAAAAATGACACAGTTAACATCTAGAAAGCATCCCTAATACATCCCTAATGGGACGTCCCTCGGACGACCTTATGGGACGTCCCTGGTATGTCCGACTAGAAATATCCCTTGGACGTCCAAAAGAAATCCCGGGACGTTTGGAACTTAAAATGGCATAAAATGGACGTCCCAGGGATGTCTTGTGCTGTCTGGGAATATTCTTCAACTTATTATGTTTCGATGTGGGTAAAATCGAAGGACGCAGAGAAATTGGTAGAAAGTAGGCCTCTTAATTGAAGAATATCAGGGAGTGGACAGGAATAAAGAAAGCTGAGCAACTATTTAGAATAGCTCGAGACAGAGACAGTTTCGCTATGTTAATCGCCAACGTCAAGGGGACTTGATAGGACACGTTAAGAAGAAGATTAATTCTAATTTCGGTCTTGCAAAGCTCATATTTACTGCATATGCAAAGCACTTTTGTTGTCTGTTGTCCTAGTTAATAAATAAACTCAGATATTAAACAAAACAATACTAATCCATTGTATTTTCATTTTACTCCTTTTTTTAAGACAGTAAATAAATTACTTTCAGATAATTTAGCGTCTGCCTCGTTTGCACCCTTGGCCCACAGGACCTCAGTAAAGTATGGTAAGTAATTTTATTTTATTTTACTTGTTTTTTCCGTAGAAATCTTTTCGAGAATAGACAAAATTCTAAGATAAATCTTTTTTAATAAATAAAAATCGAATAGAATCATGTTACAATGATTGAAGTCACTTCATTTTCCAACCAAATATTAGCAAATATTCCCGATAAAATGCTACATATGCAAGTTTACACAGTAGTCATAATTGGTTAGCCAGATTTAACATTGGAATTTAACATAAAAACCCATCACCTATTCGTTGACTTCAAAGCCGCATACGACACTGTTGGGAGAAAAATACTATACTAATCAATGTGTATGTTTGGTATACCAGAAAAGCTTATCCGTTGATAATTAACGATAATGACAATGTGTAACTTAAAAGTAAATGTTAAGATACAGGAAGAGAATTCTCGATCCCTTAAGGTAAAGCAGGAACTCAAGACAAGGTGATGCCCTGGCCCTATTTAATATTTTCTGCAAAATACAGTCCGAGAGTCACGAAATAAAGATATACATTTCCTAGCCTTGGAAACGACGACAAAACAATACGTTATAGTCGTCATCGAAGACATAACGAGATACATGTTGGTTACTAAGGATCTTATCTGTCTCTCTCTTCAATCCTGACCCCCCCAGGGGGAGTGTAGTGGTCGACGTGATGTCGTGTATTGTCCGTCTCCAGAGATCTCTGTCTCTGGTCATTTCTTTTAATTCATGCATAGGTCTTTTTCATATTCTTGTAATTTGATCTATCCATTTTTTTGGGGATCTTCCTCGTGATCTTCAGCCTTCTACCTTTCCTTGTATTATGAGTCTTTCCAGGTTTTCTGTGTTTGCTTTCATAACATGCCCAAAATATTTTAATTGTTGGAGATGGACTTTACTAGAGAGTCGTTGGCTAACTTTTAGCTCTCTTGAAATTGAATTATTTGTTCGACGGTCGGTCCAAGGAATTCGTAACATTCGTCTCCAACAGAACATTTCAGTGGCGTCTATCTTTCTTCTCTCCGATTGTCTCAGAGTCCAAGATTCACATCCGTAGGTCAGTATTGGGAATATTAAGCAGTTGATCAACCTCATCTTTATCGCTCTTGAAATTTGACAGTCCTTCCATATTTTTTTCATTTTTGCTGTGGCAACTTTTGCTAGATCACATCTACGTTTAATCTCTTCTTATAATGACCCTGTGTTTGTGATTAATGATCCCAGATATAAGTATGAGCTCACAATCTCGAACCGGTCAATTGTGTTTATGTGTGGATGATTGTTGTGTAGTCTATCCACTATCATGATCTTTGTCTTTGATATGTTTAATTGCAGACCAAATATTTGACTTTCGTTTTCGATCAGTCGTATAAGTTCTATCAGCTCTGCTCTACTGTTTGCAAGAAGGGCTGTGTCATCTGCGAAACGTAGGTTGTTTAGTTTATGACCATTTATTGAGATGCCCTTTTCCTATCCTTCAAGCGCTCTTCGCATAATATACTCCTCATATATGTTAAATAATTGTGGAGATAGTATACATCCTTGTCTGACACCCCGTTCTGGATGAAATTCATCCGAAAGTGTGTCAAGTACTTTAACCGATCCAGTAGTGTGTTCATATAGTTCGGTTATAAGCATAATTAGATGTTGTGGTACGCCTACTTCTTTTAGTATTTGCCATAAGTGTCTCCACTTGACCCTGTCGAACGCTTTACGGTAATCTATAAAACAGATGTATAGTGGGATGTTGAATTCCCTAGATTTCTCGATTATCTGTCTTATATTCAGCAGGTGTTCTCGAGTGCCTCTACCTTTGGTAAATCCAGTTTGCTCTTGTGGAATTTCTCTTTGAAGGAATGTTTTCAGTTTCTCATTGATTATATGTAGCATTATCTTGCTGGCATGGGATATAAGGGATATAAAGGATCCTAAAGCAAATTAGAAATGGGATACAGTCTTTAAAAGTAATGTCTTTGTACGTGATGACAGCTTCCCATACCTTGGCTCGTTGGTAACTACTACCCTGGTGCGCAGGTGCCCCTGTGTTAGTATCTACCCATTAAAAAATTTTGTGCTAAAACATCTTTTACACCTTTACCTAAAGAGGATTCTGCTACCGTTTCCCTAAAAAATTGCTCTCGATTACGCCAGTTGATTTGCTTATGGGTGCAAAGACCAATTGAGTATGAAGTTTTTGCAAATTACAACTCATATCAAATATCAGATAATAATAGCTTGATAATGGTACCCAGAGTTTTATCATAAGGTTAGTTGCGAGCTACAGCGTCCTCGAAAAAATTTTTACGATTGGGGCGCCGTTGCTAACGATATCCGCTGACTATGTTATATTTAAGAGTATTTTATCGCACAATTAGCCTAAAATATACAGGTGCAGTTTTCTGCTCTCGCCAACTTCATTATACTCGAAGTGGGAAGGACTTTTGCGTCGCAGAATCCTACATTACGAAGCCAGTAGGTAAAACAAACGGAGCTAGTACACCTTGAATTTTGGGGTATAATAGTAAGGGCCAACTACTAGATAACAAAAATTGTAGACCCCATAAATGATACCCTAATCCTAACAATTTTGTTTCTAGTACATACGCTGCTTGTTGCGCTAATACGATATATCCAATAGCTGTGAATTTTAAAGTGTAACACATGGGTTTAATTTAGCAATCACAGTTTGGGACCTCTAAATTGGCAGCCAATAGATATGTGGTTTTAATTTACTATTTACTGTTTTTTGCAGCTATTGAGTGTATGAATATAATTTGACACATTGTTTTTGGTCCCCTAAATTTGTAGAAATATCGATTTTTTTCGGCCACTCACCGTTTTTAGATTCCGAAAAAATTAAACGTAAAATACAATAAAATTAGCCTTTTTGCTATCTCATTTGTTGCCTTTTAGATGCAAGGCTTAGTTTGCGTTTATGATAATCTAGATTATAGAATGCACTAAATAAGCTTAGATTAAATTATTGAAGATAAAGGTTCATAAGTCAAATGGCGTTAATTGAGTTGATACAAATAAAAGTGAGTTCATTTGTTAGATTATTTGGATTGGGTGTAAATGCAGCTCATGAAAAAAAAAAATGCTTAAAACTGATCAATAAAAATAACATATTTTCCAATATTATGCTTTTTTCGTTTCTATTTAGAAAAAAATCACAAAAATTTTATTTTTTAATTTACTTCTGATGTAGTAGACCTGTTTCTTGAGACGACACTAAAATTTACCTAGTCAATGCTCAACCATTAAATCAGCACATTAGTCTTATGTTTCTAGCATTGTGGGAACTAATTTGAATTAAAATATTTTTTACATATTAAAAGGTCCTACGTATCCTACAAATAAATAAAATATGTATTTCTTTTGTTTTAGCTACACGACCTTCACCTTGGCATGTTTCTGAGCATAGTCGTGGTAAGCAATTAATTCACAATTATATATTCTTTTCTTTAAACGTCAAATAATGATGACATTACTTATCTAACTTGATCCTGTCAAAGTTTGATGTCTCCGCCGGCAGTAGTTTTTTTCCCATTTCTTTACGGCGGAGGGAAAAATGTTATCATGGCAACAATATGAAACATGTCACAAAGCAACAATACAAATGTCAATAACAACAATTAAACATCATTTTTATTTATAGTAATATTAAAAGTACAATTATTTAATAAGGCATTTTCAAAATTGAAACCGTGCAAAAATATTCCCGACTCTTGGTACGCATTGGTAATTGTTGATGATACTGGTGGTCGAGAACAACTTTAGACTTCTTTGCAGTATATCCTTCGCTTGTTTTTATCAGAAAGGCACGTAACTTTAAAAATTTGCTTATATCCACATTTTGTCTAATAACTAACTCGGATTTTATTATAGAGAGTATCGTGACCACATTGTAGAAGATTTCCATTTATTTTCATTTTCCATTATATTAAAATATGCTAGTAAAACGTCTTCGGAACTTGCCGTACTCCTCTTGTATTGCACCACTCTTGGAAGTGCTTGTACACTAACCGATACTTTATTCCGGACTTGGAGGGCCCCAAACGTGCTACTGCATCATTAGCCGCGGACTCAATTTCGTTTAGGTTTTCCATTTATGCACTTAATTTGCGCTTGCGGTTGCAACAACAATAAGCTGTCTTTAATAATTGCAAACAACTGTCAAACAACTGTAACCAGGGAGACGCAAATCCCACCGACGACTTAACTATTTATAACATTTCTAATTTCTAACATCTAGACGACTTTGATAGTTGTCACAGTTAATTTCGAGTAAAAATAGCGTATGAATTGTACTATTTATGGTTGAAAATTGCTACGTTTGAAGAAAAAATAGTATACTTTATTCGGCAAAGAAGCGACTTTTCTTGACTTGCCCTCTATTACGCGCCTCACTTGGTTCGGCGCGTAATATCGGGCGCGTCAAGAAATGTCATGCTTCTCCGCCTCAAAAAGTAATATACTATTTATTTTTTCTATATCTTAACTACAAGTTAAGTTTTTGTTTGTTTTTTCTAAAGCTAATAGTTTTTTTAGTTTAATTTTTATTTTCCAATTACAATAATACTTAAATTTTATTTCCAGCTCCAACGTCAACTATTCCTTATGGTAAGAAAATAATTAACAAATAATATATATCAAATATAAGGGTTCCAAAATTGTTTTTTGCATGTATATGTTAAATATTTTTTGTATGGAACTAAGCTTTCTGAATGTGTTAATCACAAAAGGGAACAGAGGATATGCAACCAACATTTACAAAAAAACCAACCCACACCAACAGATATTTAAATTACCACTTAAACATCAACGTAAACATCAAAATAAGACATAATGACGGTATTAGATTTTGATTCGATACAAATTTTATCAAAATAAGAATTATAAAATCATCACAAATAATAGATCTCGAAATACATGCTCCAATGACAATGAATTTCAGGAATAAAAAAACCTGCTAACAAAGGGTTTAACCAAAAATTAGCACCCATTGTTATTTATAAACGCAATTATTTATAAACACATTGTAAATTATAAAAGCAATTTCACAAGATTAAAAAACGGAAAAAACAAAATACCACAAACATGCCACAAATAGTCACAAAAATGGGTTTAAGGATGACAACAATAGTGTATTTAAAGATCTTATCAGAAAAATTAAAAAGGATAGGAAATCAACCTAGTCAACCTAGGAAAGTCAACATACGGAGGTCTTTCTTTTTCAAAACCAAAATCAACAACATAGAAGAAAGCTCAAAAAACTGCAACTATAAAGTACCCTGTGAGTGCAACAATTGCTATGTGGGAGAAACTGCAAGACCAGTTGAGTTGAGTTGAGTACAATGAAAAGATGCATCAGTAATCATGAAAGAAACAGATATGAAAACACAAATTTCAAAGAAGCAGCTTTCATCACACTTAATATGAAAAAAAATATGTGCATATTTATTAGCATATAGGCTTTGGTTGCCAATGCTAAAAAAAGAAATCAACAATAAGAACATAACAACACTGTCAGATTAAAGGAAGTCACACACATTTGGTTTACAGTTATACATAATACATATCCAAGGCACAATACACAAACATATAATTTACATAATCAAACATTAGACAGTGCAAACATTAGACAGACGAATAATACAGTACACATTTTTATGTAACAGCTGGATCACTTTAAAAAGAATTAAAACGCTGAATTCTACAATCATCTATTAAATTTCGTCGGCTTACAAGCGAAACACACTAAGTCAAAAAATATAGATAGTTTTGAGATAATCGTGTTTTAAATTTTTTTAAAAACAGTTTGATTAATTTTCACATTTAAAACTTTTATTTGTTGTTTTATAATTATACGAAAGTTTTCATAAAGTATTAATAATGATTACTGACGAGGAGAAGTAAATTATATATTACCAAATTATTAATTTTTGTTTAATTTTCGATTTGAATACATTGACTTAATGTTTTTTACCTGTAGCATTTAAATTAGTGTATTTTTCTTGTTTAATTTTGCTATGAAAGTATGACTTATGTGTATTTTTTTTATTTACTTACTGTCATACGATTATTGCAGGCTTCATTTACATTGTAAATAATACAATAATTTTTGCTTATATAAGTTTTTACTTTTTTCATGTATATTTTCACAAAACAAGAACATTTAAAAAAAACAGGTATAACAAAACAAAACGTGTATACCAAAAAAAAATATGCTTCTAATTTTCAAAGTCTTCTTAGTCAGAGTCCTTTATCAATTATTTTTTCTTTGCGTCCGAAATTGGAAGCTGTTTAGAATATAATTGAGGAATAACCAAATTTTCATTATTATTATCCTCTTTGACTATTCTGTTAGAAGCACGACGTACAAAACTAACGTTAATATTTTCATATTCGTCGTGAAAATTATACTTGTACTGTAGAATGTTAGGAAACTGTTTCTCATACTTAAAACACTTTACCTTTAACCAGTTGACCGTTTGCCCTTTTTGATCCTCTTTCTTATTAACAATAGTATATTGTGCAAGTTTTTTCAAATCTAAGAATTCGTTATAATTAACTTCACGAGTATTATCGGAATATTTTTTATTCCCATTGTTGCCCATTCTGGCCATTTTAAAGACATTTTCATATTCGTGAACACTAAAAATCTCCACATTTTTTTTGGCACTTTCAATAGCGCTATGCATGAAATCTACATCCATATAGGAGTGTCCACTTTCCATGAACTTTTGCTCAATTATCCGAAGACTCGAATGATTTTTAACAATATGTAAAAGCAGAGCAGATACTTGAATATTTTTGTTCTGTCCTCCACACGTATCTGAAAAAATCGTTAGATGTTCTATATCAGATAATGAATTAATTTACATTCCTAGGCAAGTACCAATTTCACAGCTTCCACGCTTACCATTGACTTCGGTCCAAAAATAACAGAATGCCTCATTTGGTGGAGCAGATTCCTAAATTGTAAAATTATAGAGGTTCAGCTTTCTAAGATAATACAAGAGACTTACTTGCGATGATGAAATTTGTAAAACGGTTTGCATATCATATGTAATTGATTTAAATTTTTTATTCTTTTTCGATACTTCTTTGTCTGAATTTTTTTCTTTCATTGCAGCCTTTTTTCTGTCTAAATGACTCCTATTATTAAGCTCCATCGCTTCTTTTTCTTGTTGCAATGCTTTTGTGTATTCCTTACAGGTCAAACATTGGACTTTTTTAGGTTTGAAAAATGATATACTAAATTCCTTGCAAAAGATTCGCCTATAAGTTATCTGACTTAAGCTTGACAAATTGTCCTCTTTACACTTTTTAACGAACAGGTCGTGCATTTTTTTAATATAAAGATTGCAATCTAAATAAAGTCTTTTCGAAGACTTTCTAGTGTAGTGACTTTATACAACAGGAAAGCTTTCAATGTGTTTTTTTGGTCTTATTCTTGCTCTTATTAAAGTTTTATTGTCAGGAATCCTACGGCCCCTTCTGTCTATTCCACTATATTTGCCGCTTTTATTTTGCTCTTTAAAGGCATTAATTATAGGCCTATTAGAAATATACAATGTTTTACAAAAAAATTTCTGACACACTTGACTTTTCTTTCCCATATTTGTGAAAAAATAGGATTTTGTGTTGGATCGCATTTTGCTATTTTTTCCTTTTCTAGCCCTACGACTCTTTACTTCACTAGAAAGCACATTCAATAATATAAAATCTTTCTGTCTTTGAAATGACAACATCGCATAAGTTTGACATAGCAACTTCCGGTTCTCTTCAGAAAAGTTTATGGTCTTGGGGTATTCCATCGGCTTCTTTTAGGTCCTACTTGACTATTTTCATTTGAATTTATTTTTTCCGCGTCTGCTTTAGAGTTTCCTTAGCTGGTATCTAAATTATCACTTTCATTACCTGAAGGAATATAGTCGCTATCCTCCATACATTCATCAGAATCCTGGTCACTTACTTGAGGAGGACCTGACTGAATATCTTGACAAAAATTATCAGAATTTAGGCTCACGTCTTTGTTTATCACTGTAGGTAGTTCGACAGAAAATTTTATTTTTATTACAAAAATTAAGTAATAAATACACACAAAATTCAAAACTGTTAACGACCTAATCACGCAAAACACTGGAATAAAACTGACAAAACCTATGCAATATACCCAAACAAATAATTAATTTTTTACAAGATTGGACAAGTTGCTTTACGTAAGTCAGTCGGTAGGTTCATTTGTAGTCAAGTGAAATACATTAAGTCACTGAGTGTGTTTTGCCTGAATCATATATAGTTTTTGAGACTTAGTGAGAAACATGATAATTATAAAAATAACCGTTTTTGTTATTGTATGACTTAGTGAGGTTAACCAGTCTAAAGAGTAAAAAAAATACAATAAAATGCTGCAAATAACTCAAAAGTGAAAAAAATTGACTTAGTGTATTTCGCTTGTAAGCCGACGATTTAAAAGATGGAATAGGGATAAATGGCATGATTATACTATATTTGATATACTAAATTCTTTTATCTGTAGTATAGTAGTGAATATCTTTCTTACAGTAAAACCTAAAATTGAGGATAAATTACCTTGGCTAGCAACAGCTATGAATTCCAACAGGACAATTACTTTACCAGATGGTAAGTTTTGCATAATTTACTTAGACACACATTAGAACATCAATAATTATTTCTATATTTTTGTTTTGTTTTAAAGTAAATATTATTTTTATTTTCATAATTCGAAGTCAGCCTAAATTTATATTTTTTTCTGTGTCTCACCACACTTAGGTACTTAGAATAGACTTTTTTAATAACCAGTCATTAGTATCTTTGACTTGTATACGTGTTTTGTATTCGCTTATTGTTTAACTTCTTACTTCAATCTCAAGAACTTGAAAGAATTTATGATTTTATGGTAAAATATTTAAATATCATGTATTACTTAAATTTTTTTTTTTATTGTGGGCTACATTATCTTCAGAAAAGGTCTTGCTTATATCGGAATACGTTGGTTCGCCTAGCAAGTACCATGTGATATGCTTTCTTTTACTTTTGTGTCCGGATTCAAATGATTCTCACCAAGTAAAGGGTAACGAAAATAGCATTGTTGCTGGCATGCCACAATTCTTAGAGGGTGTTATCTACCAGGATATAGTCTGCTCTTCAGTAGATTTTTCACGTTCTGAACTTCACTGCATTTACAGTGTGATTCATGTGCGTCGACCCTACCTACCTCACCTTTTGTTTTTTCACCTCACCATTTTTCTTGACGCGGCAACACCTGTTTTTATTTTGTTTAGCAACTTCCATACTCTCTAGCCAAGGTGTGTGCTATTAGGATCTGGGGCTTTATATCTGAAGTTTCTACTGTAGAACACTTATTTGATTTTTCCATGGTTTCTGCGGCCTTTCGTTGTGGTTGTGAACTAGCGAAGCCCACGGCTCTATAGAGGTACTGGAGAGATATTCGGCTTGTTGCATTTAAGGGTACCTCTACATATCTTACTTGTACAGATTTTCTTCACACTGGGTGAATTTTGCTTCGCAAAAATTCTAGTTTTGTTATAATACAATTTAATATTTCATAAATTAAACTCTTTTGATAAAACGACAAGAAGTATTATTTACATAATACAATATGAGCTGCCACTAAAACCAAGTAGGAGCGTCTGCTATGGTTATAAAAAACTAATTGGAACCAAATCTTTCTAGACACCTTAATTTTTTATTGTTTTATTTTAATACTTCACACTAAAAGGGTTGTTGTAGTCGGTCATAAAACATTTTATTGCTTTTAGTGCAGCAATATTTTAATTTCTACACCTGATCTTCCTAACATTCAAAGTGACGAAGAACTGCCTGTTCTCTAGTACAGCTACGATGATCTATGTTAGATTAATATCTTTAGTAATTTTTAAGATCTTTGATAAGAGCACTTTGAGGTTTACAGTGTCATATTCCGACGACAAATCAACCAATGTCACTTCCGTAATTTGTTATTGCTCATTGCTACTCTCTAAGGACTCAGTGAATGTAATTGTTTGAGCATGATTTTCCGGACCCGAATCCTACTTGCTGCGGGATTAGATTTTGTTCGTAAGTCTATTTGACGCGTTGCGTTATCATTCTTTTATTTAAAACAGCCTAAACTAGTGGACAGTAGCGAGATCGGTCTTGACAAAATTTATATGCTTGACAAAAATTAATATACAACATGTTTATTGATAAATTAAATTCATGTTACAGGTGTTTTTGAACTGGGAGATAGCAACCTTGTTAATTATGCTCACGGTGCTTGTCCAAAAACCCCACAAGGGGTTGAAGGTGAATGTGTATTAATCAAAGATTGCCCGACCGTTTTACCTTATTTGACTGACTTAGCAGCATACACGAAATACTTTTGTCCAGTAGAATCAAAGTGAGTATTGTTTAATTTTAAAATATTATCTAGTAATATTTTTTTTGCAAATTTTAATACCTTTAATATATTATAGTATTTATAATTGCAGTAACATATTATTTTTAATTGCAGGTATGCTGGCGTGTGCTGTCCTAAAGTATTAAAACCTTCTGCTACGGGGTTATAATAAATTTTTGTAATTAGTATTGTTAAATAAAAATTATATTTTTATATTAAAACATATTATTAATTAAAATATTTTACTATACCTGGATATGATTTCCGAACCACATAGTGTGTTTAATTTCAGCTCTAATAAATTTACAATTTTATACTAGTATTTTCACCATATGTTGTTTGTTTGTGTTTAAATGACTGCGGACACTTAATCCATTCGCCAATCTTACAATTTGAGTTGTAGTGTATGTGTGTAGAGTCTTTGTCTTGATACTTAGCAAAGTCGACATCATTGTCTTTGCTAAGAGACGCTAATTGTATCCGAACGTCTGCGGTCCCTCCGGTGAGTACCGATCGCACAAGGATAGAAATTATTTTCATTCATTAATTTTTAATATAAACGAAAATTTTTTCATCCAGATGGGATTAGAACTCACGACCTTTAGGTTTAAAGGTAGGCGCTTTTACCGCTGAGCCAAAGAGGGGATATATTTTCACCATAGTAAATCAACAAAAGATACCTGTTTAATAAAATGATACCTGTTTATTAAAGTTAGTTTTATTAGACGTAAAAATGTGAGCAAAATAATATTAATTAGATTGAATATATATTTATTTCAAAATTTCAAATTTCAAAATCGATCTAAATAAAATCATCATATCAACAGAAAATTAGACTGGTTTTTTATCAACAACAATTAAATCAGAGCCACACTTGGATATGATTATAATAATTATAATAAATTGTTTAAGTAAAATTAAATGACTAATAATAATTTATCATCAATGGAAATTCCTACCACTTCTGACAGTAACCCAATGTACTCTGCTGTTGCATCAACAAATTAGTCCAAAACTTCCACTAAAAGAGCGAGCCATCATCTTCAGTTTAATTAAAGGCGCAAAAGTGCAAGATTACCTATTGCAACTAGGACCACTTATTCAACAAAAAAATAATATTTATTCGTCAAGAATCTCTAATAATTGAGATTTATCATTTATCTTTGCAGTAAAGCTGTAGTTGAACATTTTATCAATAAAAAAGGATCCAATAAAATTAATAATTAAGTAAAAAAAAGGTTAGTCTTCGTAAATGGGTATATTTATTTAAAAACCCTTAAAAGGGCTACATAAAAAAACGTTTTCATACTAAACAGTTCATCATCAGGTTTAAAATTGCCTAAAATAAGTATAAATCATTTAGTTAAAGCAAACGTGTTTTTTTTTTAATTTTGACGAGGGTTAAGAAGCAAAAATAGTTATACTTACTAGGTTAAAATGCCTGAGCCACCAAAATATCAGGATATTGATCTTAGAAGCAAAGTAAGCTTGAAAATATAAGCGTTATCGGTTCCCAAAACGTGATACTCGTCATCATTTGGCACTACAACCCTAGGTGAGTCTTGGCCGCATTTACTATTTCCCTCCATTGTTGTCGGTCTTGAGCAGCTATTTCCCACTGCTGCACTCCCATTTTACGTAGATCACTGGCCACTGCGTCCTTCCATCTCTTTTTTTGGGTGGCCAACTGACCTTCTGCCATCGGACCTTTCCCAGAATGTGGTGTTCAGAAGTCTTTCGTTATTTGACCTTAGGACGTGGCCCGCCCATCTCATTCGGTTTGCTTTAATGTAGCGGACTATGTTTTCATCTCCATATATTGTCTGGAGTTCATTATTGTGTCTTCTTCTCCACTCTCCTGTTGTTTCTTTTCTACAAGGCACATAGATACTCCGCAGTATCTGTCTTTCAAGAACCAGTAATTTTGTCGTTTCCCGCTGGTTCAGCGTTCATGTATCGCTTCCATACGTTATTGTGGGTCGAATTATTGTCTTGTATACTCTTATTTTTGCTGATCTTAAGAGTATTTTTGATTTAAGGATGGTCATTAAAGAGTAATATGTCCTGTTTCCTGCTATTATCCTGGCTGCCACGTCATTTTCATATTTGTTTTTAGATGTTATGATACTCCCAGATGTATTTAGATGCTCCCAGATTCTTAAACTCTTTGACGACTTCGAAGTTATATTCATTAATTGTTCCGTTTTGCCTAACCCTTGGTCTTGGGTTCTTTGTAACTACCATGTACTTGGTCTTATCCTCGTTTACCTTAAGACCAATTTCCTTGGCTCCGGTCTCGAGTAGGGTAAAAACTTCTTTTGCAGCTCTGGTGGATTGTGCTATTGTATCCACGTCATCCGCAAAGGCCAATAGTATTTTTGATCCTTGTGCGGCAAATCCGTTTGTCAATTGTGGCAGAACTTTCCTTACTGCATGTTCCAGTGCGAAGGATCTCCTTGTCTAAGCCCGGTGTCAATGTGGAATTCCTCCGACGTGGTGTTGTCAGTTCTGATCCGTGCGGAAAAAAAGGTGATACTACATTTAGTAAATATATGTCTTGTAAATATGGTCAGTGATATTAGAAGTGTTACACCCCGAAGGAATTTTTTTAAACTTAATTTTTTTTTTTTGTAAAAAAATGACTATTCATTTAAAGCATGTTTCGATAACAATGTCAATTTTTTTTTATTTTTTTTTTTGTAAAACTAAAATTTTATCTTTAAGTTTTTTTATAAAGACACCCATTCATAAAGACTAGCTGGTACAGAAATTTTAAGTAATTATTCCTCAGTCTAACTGTGTTTAGTGTAAGAAAATACCGCGAGTTCGAAGACAGAAAAATTACCACCATGTTAGCAATTTTGAAAGGGGTTGAATTGCTGCCTATGGAAATATTGGTTTGCCGTATAGCGAAATTTACCATCGTGCTTGTACGTAGGGCGTATAGTTATGCGTGTCTGTCTTGTATGGACAAACAAAAGTAGAGGAATACGAACAAAACCAACTAGTCAACCGAGGCATATCACTGCAATATCGCAAAAATATAAAAAAGAAACAACTCCAGATTTTAGAACATACTATCGCTCAAGAAAATATATTCTTAATAACAAGAGCCAAAAACTTACACAGTGGTGAATACATACTTGCATGTGGTAACTGTCCAAAAACTTATATCGGCCAAACTAGTAGAATATTTAACAAACGTATAGCAGAACACAAAAGGCTTTTAATAATACAAAAACAGATTCTGCGTGCGCACTTTACTTTCTTCATTATTTATATTCTGTTAATGACCAATTTTAAATTCTTCTTATTAAAAATAAAGGCTTTCTTTAATAGTATCGTTATTAGAATTTATGGCAATCCATACATTTAAAAGTACATATATAAATCTGAATAATTAAACTGAAACAAAGAGATACCGTAATAAACTTAACGTAACAAACAAAAAAGCCAATACTCCATAACAATCAATAACGAGTAATCAGAAATTGCAATCTTAGTTTAAATAAAATAGTAACAAGTATAGAAAAACATTTTGCTATATTATGCTAAATTTTTTAAAAACGTGCATGTCCGACATGTACTTTCTTTTCTACCATATGCATATTTTGCGACTCTTTACTATCTTGGGGTTATACATATGTTTAAATTACTTTTGTAAGTGTAAAAATAATTAACTAAAAAAATGATAAAAGCCTACTGCTATAATTTATACAGTGAGTAAAATATTCTTTTTACATATTACAAAAATCGGAAACTTTGTGACATATCTTGTTGTCTGTGTAAGGTCATTCTCGTTATTTACTGTAAATTCCAAACAAAAGGCAGAGAATATTTGTGTTTACATCCTACTGCTAGCATATTTTCGGCCTTTGTTTACAAATTTTACCTGGGCTGACATCCCTCACACATAAATATATTTCCCTTTCGTATCAGTAGTGTTTGTTGGGAGATTATTTTAGTCCAGTTGCTTACAGTCAGAAAAGTAAATATTGCTGAGCATGTTACAGATTATTAAATTTTGCATTTATAAACAAAAAGTTGTAGAATTTATGTAAAAAATTACATTAAATATTTACAAATGATAATGTACAAAAATGTAACAGCAAAAAAGAAAACTAAAAGGGCCATCTACTTGGGAATTTAAAATTTTGCAACTAACAAAACGTCGAAAAATGTCTAAAAGGCACATAATACTGTGTACTGTTTTATTGCTTGATAAATATACATGTGTGTGTGTGCAAATGGCATAAGACAAAGAATCTTTGTGCCACAGGAAATTGGTATAAGAATTTTTAAAGTTTTGTCTTAGAATCATGTATAAACTTGATTAAAATATTAAATATATATTTGTCAGAATAAGATAACAGATTGCTGTATAACTGGTAAACTAATGTTAAGTTCGAATAAACTTAAATGTAGTCTTCCAGTCTGTTCCCTATGATTACAGTGGGTGGTCAAATATGATCACTTCAAAAAACTCCTGCTGTTTAATAAAGAATCAAACTACAAACAAGCGTCTAATGATGTAAATATAATATAAAAATAGATCATAAACACGTTTTTTTACAAAATTTTAAAATATTATTTTCTTTGACCTTAAATTTGTTTAATATTTTGTGTGGCCTCCTTTGGCTTTGATGACAGCTTTGATCCTCCTTGGCATGTTGTGAATATTTCTTAGGCAGTCTTCTTTTATTTTATCGTTTCTGTACCAGGTTGCAATGAGGCTCTCAATTAACTGGTGTTTATTTGAGACAGTTTCCTTAGCAACCCCCTCTTCATAAGCTTCCATAGATTTTCGATCGAATTGAGGTCTGGGGAATCACCTGGCTACTTCAGTACTTTAATTTTATTTTTTTTTCAGGTACAATGTTAATATTTTTGCCTTATGACACGGTGCTGAATCGTGCATAAAGGTAAAATCCTCCAATTAGCCAAACCAGTCTTTGATTTGTGGCATGAGCTTTCTTTCCAGAATTTCAATATAGTGATGTTGATTCATCATTCCATTCACACTGTACAGCCTCCCTGTGCCGTTACTGCGTTACTGCTGATCACAGATTATACCATGATCTTGAGGGGATGCTTTACTCGCTCCACTATGCAATCCTTGTGATATTTTTCATCCACTCGCCTTCGAATGAAGGCCGACTTATTTATGAGTATCTCCACTGTAGACTGGTCGGAAAAACAAATCTGTGAATAATAAAAAACTATAAGATATTTTTTTAGGATAAGAACAGTGGTTATAGGGATTTAGA